GCCACCCTTGACAGGCTCAAGGGAAACTCAAACCCAATCACCTTCTACCTCGAGGAGCTACCGGGTGGCGCCCTCGATTCTAGCATCTCTCTGCTGATCAAGGCCCAGATGGCAAACTTCGACATCCATTGCATCCTCGTCGACCAGGGGAGCTCGATTGACATAATTTATGCTCACCTGTTCACCACTCTCCAAGTCGACGAGAGCCATCTGACCTTGTACGTCGGTCCGACTTGCAAGGCTTCAATGGCACCACCACAAAGCCATGGGGCTACATTGAACTGCTCGTCACTTTCGGGTCCGAGGTGACTGTCAGGAAGGTCAAGGTCCGCTTCTTGGTGATAGAGTGCCCCTCTTTATACCAATGTATTCTGGAGAGGCCAACCCTGGCTGAGCTGACTGCAGTTCCATCCACCGTTCACCTGAAGATGAAGTACTACACGGCCAGGGGTCGCGTCGTCACTCTACACGAGGACATTGAAGCTGCCAGAAGATGTTTTGAGGCGGCCACCAAGGGGCTAAACTCCATAAACATCACGCCCAAGAATTCCAGCAAGCCAGTTGCACCGAGGAGCAGAGGCCATTGTCGCGCGTTAACTCGGTCAACCTCGACAGCCGCATCCCCTACAAGCAAGAGCAGAACAAAGCAGCAGAAAACGCACCTCCGACAAATGATGGCAACGGGCTGCTGCCCCATCCCATGTGCCTCATTCTGGATGGCGACTTCGAGCTCATCACTCGCGGTGACAATCCTGACCGGAGCGTGAAGATCGGCACGAGGCTCCCCGACTTGGCGAGGAAGCAACTGAAAGCCTGCCTCTGGGAGAATGTTGACCTGTTCACGTGGAGTACTGCTAAGATGCTCGGGCTTGACCCCGACGTGGCCTGCCACCATCTCACCATAGATTCGGCCGCTAGGGCCATAGTACAACGTAGGTGTAGGCAGTCTCCTGAGAAAGCGGAGGCTGCTGAAAAAGCTGTAAAAGACCTCCTAAAGGCGAATTTAATTTCTGAAGCACAGTACACAACCTAGCTATCTTAGAAGCTGTCCCGCCGTCGGACACGGCCTAACCCAACTCCTCGTCGGGGAGGGCCTAATGAAATCCCAATTCATCATCTCACACGGGAAGCTCTCACGCGTCTCCCCCACGGTCTCCACGTGCTCTCCACGCGGAGGACACAACATCAACCAACTACTCGCGTTCGAGAGAACAAGTCCTCCACCTTCCAAAGTTCACGGGATTGTTAGACCAGTATGAAGACCACATGCTGGTTTTTCCTACAATGATTTTTTATATATATATCAAAACAACTAATAGTTATTCTTATTTTTTTATACAATGATTTTTTTATTATGGAATAGTTTATTTTGTTTTTTTTAATAATTTTTATAATTTAATATAATATTTTGAATAAAAAACTTTTTATAAAAATTTGATTTGAATAATTATTTTTAAAATCTTATTTTAAATATTTTATCATTTTATTAAAAAAATTGAATATTAAAATTTTAAATAAAAATCACTTCATTTTAAAGTTATTTTAAACAATTTTTCATAAAAATCATTTTTGATTTACAATTTAAAAAAAATTCCAATTTCAAGGATGTTTTAATCTTCAATATTATATGTTTATATTATAGAATGTCAAAATTAGTCTTTTAATTTTAAAAAAAAAAAACAAATACAAAAAACTAGTAATATTTTAAAAACAATTTTATAAAATCTATTTTTGAGTTAAAAATATATATGTTTTTTAAAGCTGAAACAAACAAGTTCAATACCCTTTACTTTTTAGTAATGTATTTTTCTTTTTTCTCTATCTATAATAAATGATTACGGATAATTTTGATCAAATGATCCGTAATCATTTGAACTTTGAAATGACACTTAAAAATAAATAATTTTCTTAAAAAAATGACACTTAAAAAGTAACGGAGAATATAATAACTAATAAAGAGATAGTACTTTGAACTTTGAAGTGACACTTAAAAATAAATAATTCTTTAAAAAAATGACACCTAAAAAATAACGAAGGAAATAATAACCAATAAAGACTTTCGTACAACCGTGAGTACCAGAGTTCAAATCCTGATTATAGCATCCAACCTAGTAATATAGACTTTTTGATAGTTGAACTACTTTTGATAATTGAGCTATAATATGTAGAGTCTATTTGGTATGACGAAAAAAAAGAATTTTAATATATATATTAGAATATTATTGCAATTTTATTGTAAAATATTAGACAACAAATTAATTTTTGTTATTATTTTAGATTAATATAACTAAATTTAAAATTACAATGTTATTATTTTACGTATTTTATTAAATTTAATTATAAAATTAGGGGGAAAATGCTATATTTTACAAAAGAATGAATTAACTAGACCAAGAATTATAGTTATTAAAATTACTTTTACTTTTATGTTCTCATAAATGACTTTATGAAATGCCTCTACTTCATGTATGATTTGTTGGTTTTTTATTCATGCCTCTACTTCATGTATGATTTGTTGGTTTTTTATTCATTGAATTTCATTGTCAATATATTCATACTAAATAGCAAAGCTCATAAAACTTATATACAAATTTATATATTTTGATATGTTGATGATATCTTTAATTTTTCATATATATTAAAATTGTTTTGCATGTTGTTATTAATATATTAACTTTTATCGAACAAAATTTAATTTAATAATATAATATAATAAGATAATGAAATCACCGATTTCTTAATTAAAAATGTTTTTTTAAATCATTTTGTAATTATCAGTTAGTGTAACAGCTAATTTACCAAACATTCAAATTAACTTATCAACTAACAGCCATCAGCTATAAGCTACCGACTAGTTTAACCATACAGAGCCATAATATACCGACAATCACAAAATTTTTTACCAAATAGATGTTGGAATGAAGAAGGATTACATAATCATCACATATCCTTCTTAAAGGTTAAGAAATGACTCTAAATAATACTAAAAGTACAATATCATTCTGCAACCAATATTGGGTAAACAACAACAACCTTATCCATTTCATTGTAATTGGTTTTTCCTCATAACAGATCATAATGAGACCCACTAAATAAACCAAACAATGTCACAATAGTATTTGTAATTGTCTAGACTCTGGACACAAACTGCATGCTTGTCTTCTATCATATCAACCACTAATATAACCCTTATACAAGCTTTCAACTTACAGCATATACAAGTTCCCACAAGACTACAATGTATAAACAAACAAACAACAATAAACAACAACAACAAAAGACTTCAGTTTTTGAACTTCACTAGCATGAGAAGCACCATCTACTAGCCAAGTATTGTTGGACAAAACCAGCTGGAAATCAAATTGAAATGTAATATCTTGACAGAGTATTATGACAAGTGATCCTATTGTTCCTTGTAAATTGATGAAGCCAAACCTTGTTGAAAATTATGCTGCAAAATTTAAAATACCTGCAAGTAAATAACACAAATCAGAAGGCCAGAATATATGAACTAAGTAATAGTAATAGCACAAATATCAGTGATAATGTAATCATGGACATGATTCTAGACCGCAGATATACCTCGATAAATCAAGAATACTAGATGTAGCTCATTAGACTTATAATAGTTATTATACCAGCACCAGAAACAGAAACATCAGATGCTAAAACATAATAGCCAAACTAGGATAGTGATTGCAGTTTTTATAGCAGATTTATCAAGCTGTTATACTATTGTGTTGCTATCGTCACTATTAGACAACACTATCGTCACTATTCTCTAATTTATATTATGTATATCGTAAATTTATACCACTTATAGGTGTTTTTAATGTTTCTTTTTACTACGAATCAATCCTATGGTCTATCACGAGTTTTTGTAAACTCTGGAATTTGAGCCCGTGCAAGTAGTCTGTTATCTTTTAAGGAAAATTTAAATTAAAGAATTAGTGGTTGCAAGCTTAACATAGTATGCATCTCAGAAAAGGAAAGAAATAATGGTTAAATAAGAGAATTGCCATAATGTAATATGCGATATGATGTGAATTAAATAAAATGAATCATTTTGCAAAAAAGCTTGACTAAAAAAGGACATCTCATGAAAGGATAGGTTAAGCTTTTAAGATGGAGATTCAATAAAATAGTACCAATAAACAATAAATGGTCTGTAAACCGTGCTTTTAAATTGCGGTTGCGGTCAAGGATGCTGTTGTGGGTGATGCGATTGTGGTCATTGTGGTTATAGCGTGAATTTTTATTGAGAAAAGCTTGAAATACACCGTTAAAAAACACTTAATGTATGATTTTTCAAAAGGTTCTAAATTTTGAATTTTGACGAAAATACTTGAAAAAAACTTGTGGGAAGTTGTCTGATGCAGTTCCTAAGGTAGAAGGATGCATGATATTAAATCACACCGCAATTGCAGCCCGATGCGGTTGCGGTGACTACTGCATCCGCCGCTATATTGCAGGCAGTTGCAGACCACAATTTAAAACCATGCGTGAAGGCTGCTGCATCGGAGAAGACAACTTCGTTGTAACTAGAGAAATTGGTCAAATGAACGAGATGAACAGAGGCAAGAGTGAGAAAGAGCGGCACGTGAGATCTTAAAGTGAGTGATGTTTTAATCTAAACCGTACATCTAGATTTAACGGTTAGGATTTTATTCTTCTCATTCTCATATAAAAAAATGCATTCTCACTTGATAATAATCAGTTAGCAAAGCAGACTATAATAAGATATTAAACACGTCGCGACAATATTCAAATTCACAATAAATAGTTGACTTTCAATCATTTGAGGTACGTCAGCTATTAGGAAGACCAGCTTGCATGGTTGTTTGAGATTCGATAAAGCATGAAAGGAAAGTACGGTGAAATCACATGAAAGACAAGGCAAAAATAAATAAGCTAAAAGAAAGGAGTTGGCTTTACCTCAATGTACGACGCCCAAAACTCCGCTTCAGCATAATATAAAGTCTGCGAAGCTTCCAAAATATTCAGTTACATATAGCGAGCTTGCCAGTCAACTCATCATCAGCTACCCCATAATCAAGGCTGAACTCTCTCATTGGAGGGATGTTCTCCATTGCAAATAGCATAAGGTGTGGGAACATCAAATTATTGTGATCATATAGAACAAACTGAACCAGCACATTTGGAGTTGAGCTATGGCTCATGTAGCAAGCGACATTCCTCATTCTCGACACATCCAGAGCAAAATCTAAAGGAGGAATTGATGGATATGTCGGGCGCTTATAAAGCGGGTCTACCAAAGATAAATCACCCCATTCTTCCCACCTATTCGAAAACCGATTCGGATATATCAATGAATCACCGTTCATGATCAGAATCTGTGCTTGCTCCCTAGTCAAAACAACCCCAGTGTATTCACATATAAAAGCGCCAGCTTGAATAAGGTCCAAAGACCTAACTCCCCAACCAGTCTCCTTAGATCTAAACACTTCCAACCTATTTTTTAGCCCTTTTTGAGTAACACGGTTACGACAATGAGGCGGACAACGGCAAAAAGGACCGCATTCAAAGACTAACGGTCTCCCTTTCAAGAGAAGCCCACTTTGGCTATAAGGAAACTCGTTCCCATTCTTCATGAAACAAAAGCATCCTTCGACGCAACCGTTCACGCAATCACAACCAGTCACCCTCCCACTCTGATGAAACACAAACGGCGGAAAAGTAGCCCTCGGAAGATACTCAAAACACATGGGATCATTACTCCTATCAATATTATTAAAAAGCCGCACACCAACATTCTCATTCCTATTGGAAATATCAAGCGAAAAAACACACATAGGTTTAAAACACAAAGGATCCCTCCTAAGCATAAGAGCCTCCTTAAGAATCGAACTACCCATCTTAGCTTGACCATCAATCCTCCAAAGCTTAAACTTATAAACACCAAAACCAGACTTTCCAATATCAAACCAATATTCGACAATCCTATACAAACCATCATAAACATAAACCTTACCAGTAGCCGAAGACGAACCCTCATACCGAACACCGCGAATAACCCTAACCTCAATTCCATAATGCATACTTCTCTCCATAGCAAGGTTCCCGCCTTCCAACTTCTGATGAAAAACCTGCCTTGAGTTCTTATCCTGACCACCATGACCAGTATAGATAATGACATCGCCTTCATCGACGTCATCCTCATATCCACCAGAAACAATCACACTAGTAGCAATCGGTTCACCATTCGAACTCATACTACTAGGCAAATAATCAATCCCAGCTTGCGGTTGACCATGTAAACCAATCACAACCAACTCCATTCTATAAAGAAACACATCACCAATACAAATACCAGGAATCGGACCAACGATTCTCTTATCGCGATTCAGCCACAAACCTCGGTTTCTCATCAAAGCAGAAGCTCTCAGATCGCTTCTCACTTTCCGAACATCACTTCTCTTCTCTTCCTCAATCAAAGCCAAAACACGAAGTGAATCGTAAACCATTCTCGTCCTTCTCACAAGGTCCCGAAACTGACGCTGCTCCGCTAAACCAAGATCCGCCACACGAACCAGCTCCTTGTAACGCCGTTGAAGCCTCTGCGCCGCAACTTCCCCCGCCCCCGGCGGACCATTGTTGTCGTAACTCTGACGCGCCTCGGGAACCGGAACGATGGCGCGTAAATTAGGATCATCAACGAAGTCGTTTTCGAGCTGCTGTAGTCCTGAAGTGAACCCGGTTCGGAAAGCCTCTGAGATAAGGTTAAAGTTGGAAAACCCGTCGGGTAGGGTTTCTTGTTCGTAAATATCATCGAGGTTAAGATTTAGGTTAAGATTGAGGCTCGGAAGATCATTCAGGTTCGGTTGTTGCTGCTGTTGTTGTTCATGTTGAGCTGGTTCGTCACGAGGCTCTTGCTTCGGAGTTAGCAATGGAACTGGGAACGGGATACCCGGTGGAGCTGAAAGAGCGTTTGGGTCTTCAGAATTCATGTGTTGTTGTTTTTAATGTTTTTTTTTTTTGGCTACGAAGTGAAGAAAAAATGAAAATGAATGAATGTGTTGGGTTTATGTTTAAGAAACATGAAATGGAAATGGAAATGGAAGAGACAATTGGTATTTATAATGTTGTGTGTTTAGTTTGAGTTGCGAAGTTGTGATGTTGTCAAAGTAATTTCTTGTGAAGTTGGAAAAACATTTTGATGTTAGGAAATTGTGAAATGCGTGACTATGTTGTCATCTTTACCTAATTTGGTTTCTCGGCTTCAAACTCTTTCTATTGATGATGACGAAGAGAAGTATTAAGAAAGATGATTGCTTTTTTATGTTATTTTTCATTTTTCATTAAAGGTTTTCTATAATATTTTTTCATTTTTTGTTTAAATTTATAAAAAATATATAATTAAATATTATTGTCAAAAATCAAATTCTAAATAAGAGTTAAGTACATTTTAATGAAAATTTAGACAAAAAACTTTATATAACTTTTTTAATTTTTTGTTTAATGATTAAAATTTTATTATTAAATTTGCTTAAATTAAATATTACAACTCTATATTATGAGTAATGCCGATTTTATATATTAAACTATTCAAAAGAATCTTCCCAAATATTAATATATTAACTTATTCAATAAACTTTATTTTACTTTTTTATTTTTTTATTTACCGATGAAAATTTCATTAATACTATAAACTTTAACGCTTATATCCATGATAATTAAATTTCTTTGTAGTTAAATATCGACAATATATTGAACTAATTTAATAAAACATTTAGTTTTATCATTAGAATTGCTTAAATTAAACATTATTGACTATCACAATGAATTAAACTGATTTAATAAAATATTTAGTTTATCGATAAAATTGTTTAAATTAAATATTATGGACTATATCATATTACCTTTTCGATTATGGGTAAAAATGATTTTATGATTTTAAACTATTTAAAAAATTCTTCTAAGATATAATATGTTAAACTATTTAATAAACTTTATTTTACTATTATAACTTTTTGCTTAATGATTAAATTTTCATTAATTCCTTAAATTTTAACGAGTATATTCAAAATAATCAAATTTCTTTGTATTTAATTAGTTGAACTGATTTAATAAAATATATAATTTTATTATTAAAATTGCTTAAATTAATTATTATCAACCATATAATATTACCTTCTCGATTATGAGTAAAAACAATTTTATGATATTAAACTATTCAAAAGAATATTCCAAGATATTAATATATTAAACTATTCAATAAACCGTATTTTACTGTTTTTATTTTTTGTTTAATTGTTAAAATTTTATTAATGCCATAAATTTTAACGCGTATATCCCTAATAATAAAAAAAATATATATATAATTAAATGTCTGTGTACAAAAAATAAATTCAACTGTTTTAATAAAACACTTAATTTTATTAATAAATTAAATATTATCAACTATATAATATTATCTTTTCGATTATGAGTAAAACAATTTTATCTTTCAAGATATTAATATATCATACGATCATTTTTTAAATAGAATGAGATTGATATTTACTACTTTATATTTTTTTCTAGATTTGTTTATTAGAGAGAATTTATTTTTTTAGATTCATTAAATTATCGATATATAAAATCAATTATACAGACTTGATGTATTGATTTTTCAATAAAATTTAAAAAAATGTACATATATATCTTCTCATAAATTGAAGGAATATCAAAATATATAATTGACTTTTATGTCACAAATATTTATTAATTTTTGTCTCTATTTTAGTTTAAACATTTATATTTTCTGTTGAGTTTAATTGATATGCACATCATTCTGATTGACCGCGCATGACAATCATTAATAATAATGATTTTTAAAGATAATTATAATAAAAATCAAATATTTTTAAAGATTGTGATTAATTGATACTCCCTCTGTTTTTTTTTATAAGTCGTTTTAGATTTTTTACAGATACCAAGAAAGTTATTAATTTTTGCTAATTTTGTAAATATATTATAGGGTATTTCAATATTATCCTTTTTAAAAACACTCAAAATCTCTTGTTTCAAAATATATCAGATTAATCATTATGATTTGTCGATGGAATATCTAGATTGCATTTATTCCAATATATTCCATGAATAAAACATTAAATTAATTAAATTTATACGTGTCTTTTTCTATCCTACACTAATTCCTTATTTTTCTCCCTTCCAAATTGGATCTTCGTCATTTTCTTTATCGGTAACGAAACTATAGAATCTTCTACTATTTTTATCGATGGATTTTTGAGATATTCCATTGCCAATTTTTTAACGGATTTTTTTGTTATGATAGGAAGAAGGATTAAAAAATGCACAATATATAAAACTTGAGAATTCACAGAGATATTTCTGAGTTTTAATTGGGAGTTAATATATTCTTAAGAGAGAGGAATTTTGAAAAAATCACAAATTAATATAGAGTTTTATGAGAGGAAGACTTTTTCTATAAAAAGTTGGACTAATGCATTGAAAAACAATATTCATAATGTCACTCTGCATTGGAATACAAGATTCACTGAATTATGAAAATTATAGAAAAAAGAGATGAATTAGGGGTATTTTAGGAAGAAAAAAATTAATTCTACATAGAAATTACAAAACGACTTATATTTTGGCACAATTTTTTTTTCCAAAACGACATATAATTAAAAACGGAGGGAGTAGTGTATATAAATTAAAGAGATTAATATTCATTTATTCAATCAAATAATTTTATAATCCCACTTGATTTAATACTTTTTTATTAATCTTAGAATTCATTTTACACTCTTAAACTAAAAAATATTGTATTAATTTTTGAAGTGTTCAAAAAGGACCACATTAGTCTTTTTTCATTTGCTACTTGACAAATTTAACTATTAATTTTTTATTATATTTTTTTAATTAGACAAAAATGACTAATATAATATATTTTAAAGAGTTAAGGATCAATATGATATTTTTTAAGTTACGAAATCTAAATGAACTTCGAGATTAATGATGACTTCTTAACAAGTGTACCGATAATATCACAATAATAATTAAGATCGAATCCACAGAGACTGTAATAATTAAGATCGATAATATCAAGTGTACCGATAATATCACAGTAATAATTAAGATCGATAATATCAAGTGTACCGATAATATCACAGTAATAATTAAGATCGATAAGATTAAAACAGGTTCATCAAACACAACCTAACTATAAGTTCTGTGTTTTTTTGGATTGGCTACATTTTGGTAAAATAACATGTTGTTAGCAAGATGTTACGCCAGATGTTTTGCCATGACAGTCAGACATCATGTCTAGCATGATGCTGTGACATGTGCTAGGGCATGTTATACCAGAAAGTTAGGGCATGACCTTTTTGGTATTTTAGTGTGATTTTAGAGTGTGTTCTAATTCACACGTGTGCGCTATTCATGGAAGTATATTGTGGGAATTTCTGTTATGGAAGATTCTGTTAGTTTTCATAAAAAAAAGGATGCTTAAGCCTTTTTAGGAAACTTTCTATTTAGTTCCTATTTTTTTGCAGAAGATTATGCAGAATATTTGCAGGTGTTGTTTTGAATTTGTTGCGGTTTTAAAGCCTAAACACATGCTTCTCAAAGACTATTTATAAGAAAGACTTTTAACCTATAAAGTGTGTGTGTGTGTGTGTGTGTGTGTGTGTGTGTGTGTGTGTGTGTCATATTTTTGTGTGAGGATTTTTTTAGGGTTTTTGTGTTACTCTTTTTGTTCCTTTCTTATGTATTTTAACATTTGAGTAGGATTGTGTTAATTGTCAATTGTTCACTCATGAGCTTTTAAGCAAGAGTGTATTGTCCTTAGTTTAAAGCTTTTAAGTAAAACAAAGTATTGTTCTTGGAAGTGTGTTTACTTCTATTTTTTTGTTATTGTTGAATTGTCACTGGGATTGTGACTGATTAGGAAGTGAGAAGGGGATCTCATATCTAGAAGGTGTCTATGTAGAAGTTGTACAAGGTATTGATTAGGTGAGAAGTTGTAGACGAAGGAGTTTAGCTTTGAACTAATACTGTCATAGTGAAATTACTTCCTGGCTTGGTAGCCCCTAGATGTAGGTGACGTTGCATCGAACTGGGTTAACAACTACTGTGTTTTATTTAAATTCCTGCAATTTTTCTTTAAATTGTTCTTATGTTAATTCTGTTATTACGACGTCCTGACATCATATCCGACATTTGTCCACTACGTGCCAGAATTTCAATTTGCATCAGAGCAGACACCCTGTTTTATTTTAGGTGAGCTCCAGGGAGATACTTTCTGGTACTAGAGACATGGAACTAGGATTTGTCAACAAATCGCCTATTTTGGATGGCACCAACTATGATCACTGGAAGGCGCGTATGGTGAATTTTCTAAAATCTATGGATAGCAAAACCTGGAAAGCAATTATTAAAGGTTGGGAACACCCTGTTGTGAATGGCAAAGATGGGAAGGACACAACTGAATTGAAGCCAGAAGAGGACTGGTCTAAGAAAGAAGATGATTTTGCTCTTGGAACCTCTAAAGCCTTGAATACCTTATTCAATGGAGTTGATAAAAATATTTTCAGGATGATAAATATAAGTACCATGGCCAAAGATGCATGGAAAATCCTTAGAATCACTCATGAAGGCACGTCAAAAGTAAATATGTCAAGACTTCAACTTCTCACCACCAAATTTAAGAATCTCAGAATGAAAGAGGATGCGTCCGTTCATGATTCTCACATGAATATTCTTGATATTTCCAATACATCTAGTGCCTTGGGAGAGAATATGTCAAAGGAGAAGCTGGTTAGAAAGATTCTTAGGTCGTTGCCTAAGAAGTTTGACATTAAGGTCACATCAATTGAAGAAGCCCAAGACATCAGCAACATGAAAGTGGAAGAGCTTGTTGGGTCACTTCAAACTTTTGAATGGGCTATCAATGAAAGATGTGAAAAGAAGAACAAAAGCATAGCTTTTATCTCCAGCA